TTTGTGCAATTATCGATCATAAGTTTGTATTACTCTGGTCATGTCTTTGTAGACAAGGTTCAAACCCTTGAGAATAAACCATTTATTTATTTAATAAAGTGATGACGCGTACACATAAAGGCAACCACCCGGTCTTGAAAATCGACCAAATCAGGCACCCAGGATAAAAGTTGCTGAAGCCAGTGCGATTATGTGGCCCGAATCGAAGCTGTGCATTCAGATACAATTCATTCAGACTTTAAGGTTCCACCGACCCGAGTACCTAGTGAGCTTTACTCAGTATAATCGTGTATAAGTTGAGGCCTTGCCCTGATTAACACCAAATGCCGATACCTACGGAATGGTAAATTTACCCTTAACGAATGTAGTAGTCGATCAGAGCGATTTGTATAATGTCTAATTATACAAGCTTAATGAAGAGTTATCGAAAACATATTTTTGCTTACACTATTTGATTTCTCAATGCGCTTCAGCAATCCTCCATAACATGAGTTAGGGATTTCCGTTCGCTGAAGTCCTTGAATAACCGTTTTTCTGACTCTAGCTGTCCCAGTGACATATTGGGGACGAATTTCGGTAACTAAGTAAAACGTTTACAACACAGCCTTCACACATGCCGAGTGCACTGTTCCTGGTAGCAAATACAGTCTATGTTCAATGAAAATCTATTGCCCAATCGTCATAACGCAGTACTCAAAACGTAAGACTACACGGAAAATTTATTGAGTTTCTGAAATTCGTCTCAGTGGGAAGGCGAGGGGCACAGAAAATGGTCACTTAACCGCAGCCTATCGGTCGCGTGCGCTGACCTAGTGCAAGATTTTACTAAAAAGAAACGGAGTCTAGGTAGAGATCAGTGATGTCAACGATGCATTATTGTATTTAGACCGATCCTTTCTGTATTTTTTCTCTCTCTGCAAGTAGCCGAAAACAACCCATCCGTAGCAACAAGATTCACTTGTGTATCCTCCCAAGAAACGATCACTGACGACTGCGTGGAGAAGACGTCGCTCAAATCTGGACGGTTCACAACGCAACAGACAAGTGAAAATGTTTCGCCGCGATTGCCACATTGTATCATTCCTGAAATAAAGCAAGTGTTGGGACAGGTAAAGGAAGTCCCACGGCCGTCAAATAGGGAAGGAACAGTTTCAATAACAGTCAATCACACTATTCTGAACTGTTACTATTTGATGGTAACCTTTCCACGGATTAGCAGATGGAAGCAGCATAGGTCAAGTCCATCTGGGTTCCTGCACCAATATGGGGTGCAATTTCAGCAGTGTACGCAACCGGCTAAGGGTGTACCAAAACAGTACCGAAAAAATGGATATTGTTTAAGTAGGAAAGCGATAAGAAAGTCACTCAAGCAAACGATCCTCTACCCGCTGACGAATTCCGTTGGAGCAACAAACAGGCGTGACAGATTACCATAATACAAAATTATAGTACATTGCAGTGAGCGGAAACTAAACATTAAATGTAGAGCGGAAGTGAGTAGAGCTTCTGATAAATCATCGTGCAGCTGGTGAAACATGTCCGTTAAAACATTGAGAAAATACTGATGCATGCATCAGAACACTAAAACAATTAATAAATATTTTATTCCCGGCAGTGCGGGGCATGCCTTCGAAGGCGTGATTATGATAATACAAATAGGTATGGTCGGCAAGTGTATAAACATAAGGCGTTAACCAATAACATACTGGATTTGTGTGTCTGTATATATGTAAGGGCATGTGTTAGTGGGCATGGTGAGTGAACTTGTGAAGTGTGACTGACTTCGTGAGTTTGTTCGCTGTGTTCGCCATCGTATGAGGAGATCATCAAATGTACTCTTGAAAGTGGATGACGTCCGTGAAGTGAGGATCCTCCGTAAGGGGAAGAGGCAGTGATTTTATTTAGTGACGTCACATCCGCCAAGTCGCAATGTTGTTAAACGGACCTTTGCGGCTTTTTGTAGGGAGAAGGCTTGCCAGATGAAAAGTCACCACTGGTAAGGAAGACAATCATGTGCATCCTACATAATCCGTAGAATCACGAAATAAGCTTTATCGACCCGGGAAACTAGCCAGTGAACACTATAGTCAAGGAGAACGCAGGCAGCGACAAATTTGAAAACGGACTCGTGCGCATGCCAAAACATTTCGGCATCGTCGGTGTTCAGAGTAGATTTTGGGCTATAAAGCACCTGGATGCTTCGTGCTGGATGAACTAGGTAGGACTTGTTCTATCAAGCAAACGGGCATTCGGAGCAACATTTCGTTTATTACCACAAATAAAAAATTCCTATCACAGCGCTTATAAATGCTAGGAGTAGGGGATTTGGAAGAAGGGCACCACACAATCTCAAATGGGTTCTATTGAAGCATCAAGAGTGCCTAAATGCCGGAAGAGAGACTACCAACATCTTGCAACACACGAACGTGGATGGTATTTCAATATATCAAGAAAAAGGTGAGAGGATGGCTTTCTTCAAAACACCAAAATCAATCGGCAGTGCAGAAGACTTCCGCAGCTCGGCTGGGCAAAGCGAGTGCGGTCTGTTACGCAGTCACTTAGTACCCGGCACACGCTTGGGTGGACGCCGTTACCAGATAACAGACTAGTCCAGAGTACCGAAAGCGCCTGAGCAATCAACGAACAGAAGCCGAACCGTTCTGCAGCGGAATGCATAAACGTACAGTGTATCCGGTGTGAACAGCTGAGATCTACGGACGAATTGACAGTTGTCAGAATGCAAGACCGTAGAAATCCAGGGTACTAGTAAGTCCTGGATGACGTGCATGCCCTCAGGGAACACTTCTCTGGCAATCATTTCCTAGACATCGAGTACAATATTGGTTAAAGGTTCTATGAGCAAATCAGCGCATAGTTTTAGAACGACAAATCACCAAGACAACTAGCCTTATTTAACTTGAATATTTGAATTTCTGAGAGACCATGGTGACTGCTGGGACGGAGCAGGTGAAGGGTGTTCGTGAGAACTTGAACTTAGCGTTTACGAGTATTCACTGCGCCAAGCCTTCAACAAGAATTTCAACTATAAAATCGATTCAAAACTTTCTACAGATTAAGATCGTTGTGATCATCCAGAACAGGTTCAAAGCAAAATATACCACTTAAGCTATTTATCTGGTATCTGACTGTAGAGTGTTATAAGGCCCGAGTAGCCCTTTTGGATTTGTAGACTCGTTCTTCCATCTTCTGAGCCGTCTCTGCATTGGTAAAAAAAATCTATTGATCCGTAAGTCGATGGATTTAAAAGGAAGCACAGATCAAATCAGAATGACATAAACGACAACATGCGTGCATTAAGATGGAAAGTTAAAGCCCCTAATAATTGAGTGATTGAAGATAGCACCGCGTGCCGTTTAGCTTCATTAACCGTTGAATATCCAAGCTGTGTGATGGCTTTAAAGAGTTTCTTGGAAAACGAAACTTAGTTGACCTTGCTGTGGACCACGGCCATAAAATCATCCCAATTCACTGATCCGCGTCCTCGATGAGTGCCTAGGTACGGAAAACAAATACTGTGCAACAGAGAATGGAGCAACAACTTCACATAAGCTCTGAGACTAAAAGTACCACAGACCATTGCGGTAATAATCCTGGATTCCTGGTTGTTCATGATTATCATTATTATACACGTTGGCTAGTGGTGGAAAACACTTCAGACACTGTGCCGCAAGGTTGTTCACGAGGAGTAAGAGAGTTGGTATGTCCCACCTTCTGAACCCCCCTAAAGAGTATTGCAATTTCAAGATGTCGAGAACGATCGTTTCTTGTAGCTCCGTCTTGGATTGCACGCAGAGTCCTCTAACAGGAGAGCGTAATTGTGGGAGGTTGCCAGAATAATTATCATAGCATTGGCAGGACTATGGTCCATGTCCGAACTACGATTTGGGAGGAGATCTTAACACCATGCCTTACTTGCAGACACCACCAAAACGATACGGTAAATCGAAATTCTAAATCGTTTGCTCAGTAGAACTTGTGCATTGGTATGCAAACACGTAAGCATCTCGAATTATAAACGAAACTCAAAGGTAAAGGTGTCAGAGGAGAACCAGTATCGGCCTTGATGTTTCCGATCGTCATCTTTTGGCAGACCAGGGACGATTTTATATCGATGCGCAATATACCCAGGAGCCAAACAGTCCCAGTGTGGTGGATCAGTAGATATTTTTCGGATGCTTTTCGGTTCCAATACAATGGCGCGTATTACCAGACTAGTCGTGATCAAGGGTCAACCGCCTTCAGGCCTTATTCAAAACGCGGCTCGTTTCTTAGGGTACACCACTCTTGTAATGCGTTTAGATTGTAATATAGCTGTTATTTATCTATGAAGCATAATGTTTTTGGTTAGATGATTTGGGTAGCCAGCGTCGAGAGAAGTCGCATCGCGTGTGGTTTCATTTTCTATACCGATTACCTAGACGGGACATACAACAATTTTAGCTGGGGGGTTTAGCAAAACAAACCCAGGTAAATCGGCGAAATCTTTAATCTAGTGTGCAACCCCTAAAATGGACTATTTGATAAATACAGCGATGGGCTGACGCCGTCACTCCTACGCACGAGCACGAAGTTTTGGTAGTAATAAAGTTGTATGGCCCTCCAACCGGGTGTCAGTTGGCGTGAAACGTCTCATGTGTGAGGCCAGCAGTTTTGCAGAGAGCACGTCGTAATCAATGGAATATGATATAGTCAAGAGGTGTCCCACGAGAGAAACAGCAGCGAGGTGCAGCAGCGTGTCATTGCAACGTTGCACGAATAATGGTGAAACGTACGCATGTTGTACTGATGTGTTGCCTTGATTCATGTGAAAAACGGCAATAGTGCAAGGCTTGAGCCAAAATCAGATCATATGGGTAATCCAGTACCTGTAAACTACACATTTTGCGAAGCTTGCTGGTGGAGTCAAAAAGGCGTTTTCTCCTATGAATGAGACGATAAGACAATGGATAAACATGTACAAACGTGCGGTGAGTGAGAGTCTTTGGCAACGGTCGTAGTTGGTGTTGTCAAAGGATAGTAACGCGGACATGAACCGCAGTACCTAAATAGCAGCTATTGAAATATGTACGCGAACACAAATGAAGAGAAATTGCTGTGCACAAAAGATTGTTATTGACAGATTGAGCACCACAGGTATACGTCCAAAAATAGTCAAATGGCCTCCACTCTGGAACGAAACGTCGGAGAAAAAATAACTGCGGGGTTCAAAGTACTCGGGCCGCAAAAAGTGGTACGCAATGAGAACATCGTAAAGATAAGAAAAGAATGGAGAATGATAGAGGAGAAAGTTCGATACACAGCCAGGTCTTCAAATACTGCTGCATCCCACCAAATTCGTAACACTTGTGAAAAATTCGATATTGCTAAGGTCGGGTGTCAGTCAGAGCGAATGAACCATCATGAGAGTGTGAAACAGGTAGATGACAAGAGCTGAACGCAAACCGCCGGGTAGAAAACGACAACTCACGAAGTCCCAATAAGAGTGAAAAATCGCACCATACTAATTCGCAGGGAAAAGACAAGTAATGAGGCGGGTTTGCATGATTGTGTGACGAACCCTGAGAGCCGCGAGGCCAAAACAGAAACCTCGATGAGGGAGCAAAACACTCGTCCATTGCAACCTTTAGCGTTCGAGCCAGCAGCTGGAAGTGTCTCGTAAAGCAAGGGACAACGAGATAGACAAAACTGAGAACACGAAAACAATCCTGGAGAGTTGAGATGGAGAAACACGCAAGGCTATCGATAAACCCGATTGTGGAGAAAAACCAACGAAAGATTCACTGTGGCGATTGGCCAAGTAGAAAAAAGCACCCGGTAGAAGCAAAAACTGCCTGCCGGGTTGTAAGCCACAAATGGAGCCAGGAAAGATGGACCATTCTTATGTGCCAAACACATGCTAAAGATCGGTCATCAAAATAAAGCGGCACAATTAACTATGGAAACAGAGAGCCATGGGTTTCGAAAGCCCCAGAAGTGGAAACAAATCGAAAATGCTGAGTTAGAGATAACGATCACAAGAGAGCGGAAAACACGGTTTAGTTCGAGCCCGAGGGGAAGCTGAGACAATCAGGTGATGGTGGTATACCAAATAAGTAGTGCATCGAAATCCGAAAAAATGCACAAGCAAGTTTTGCTGAGGCAAGTAGATCATCGTAATGCGTGAAAACGGAAAACCAATAATTGAAATATGGGTAAAAATTGTGGGCTAAACAAGATTCAAACCGCGAAGGGGCTAAAAACGCAACGCGATAGTGAATGGGTTCGTGCGAATGTTAAAAATGATAGATGAACCAAACCGGTTGAAGCAATAAGCAAGTGAACCGGGGCTAGAATAAGTGATTAGGGAGATAAGTATGAATAAAGCGACTTTGGATTAAGAGGATGTCTAAGCCTAGCCTAAACAAATCCAGTGTTATCGCGCTGGACAAAAAAAAGAGGACGGTGTAATCAAATTATTCTGGAACGGATGAAAAGTAAGTTCCTACCATTCTCCACTAGCATTACCCCTATAGACTCCCTGTTGGACCACAGCGTTCACTTTCATCGAGTCAGTAGATGGACTCGCAGCTGTTGCAGGCTCGCCTGCTGCCAACGAATCCGGCTGCAAAGACTGTGGTAGAGCAAGGGCGATAGAAGGATCCACGGTATTCATACCGGTAGAGTGAACACCATTGGACATTGCTGCTGCAACTGCCATAGCCGCAGCGACTGCAGCTTGCTGATGCTGGTGAGGTGAGTTGCGTTCCGCAACATTCGGATTAGGAACAAAAGGTTGCTGACTGTAATAGGACACATAATTGCCAGGGATCAGAGTTCCTGCCAGAGGAGAATGAGGCTGCATCGCTTGATGCCCAGCGGAGCTAGTGGAACTGAACGTATGAGTCGTTCCACCACCTAAGGCCGCAGAACACGATGCATGGAACATGCCTGCAGGGGACTGGAAGACCATCGTAGCCCCATCCCTTGCATGTGGAGAGATTGAATGAGCGGATGCAGAGTTAGGTGCAGAGAACAGAGAGGCCGGATGGTAACTCTGATAAGCGCCTGCGGGGAAAGCTGTTCCAGACCCGGACTGAATATGAGGATTGTAACCCACGGTAGAAACAGCAGATAGAGCAGCGTTAGATTGGCCGCTGGCATTGCTAACAGGATTTGGTGCCGGATGAAGTCCAGCCGCAGCAGCAGCGGCGAGAAACTGATGCATGGCAACGGGAGTGCTAGGAGATAACAACGCAGTGTGATGAGGGTGTTGTGATCGTTGTTGGGCAGGGAACAGTGACATGGACTGTGGGATGGATTGACTTTGTGGCTGATCCAAACCATTCCCGAAAGGAGCGCCTCGGCCTACAAAAGTAGGTCCGCCGCGAAATAGGATTCGATTTGGGTGCTGTGAATGGATGCTTGGCTCGTAAGCCGAGACGACAGGAAAACGTGGACCAGATCCAACAGCTGTAGGTGGTACTGAACAACTTCCAAGGATGCCAAAACCAGCATTCGGAAAAACGCTGTTGTTATTGCTGTTCCCCAAGGGAACTGAGCTGATATATGCTGCGCCGCGAACACCGTGCTGCCTATAGTCCAAAGATCCATAGTTGCCTCGCCTGAGGAAATCAAGTAGAGGAACAGTACACTCGATAGTTGAAAGTACATGTGACAGTAAAAGTGGAAATTACCAATCGAGTAGCTAACCGATGCAACAAAAGCCAAAGCATAAAGTTAGTGCAAAATCAGAAAAATAGTTCCAGTGGAACAGAGGTGCGTGGTGTATGGGCGAAAGAGGAGTAGAAGGTGATGAAACGAACAAAATGGAATAAACAGTGCAGTCGATTTCAACATGACACAAAGTAAGAACGGTGGTTGGGATTGGCCGCTTCGAGTTAGAAATGATCTTATTTAGTGCATAAAAAATAAAATGCCCATAGGAGCCATGTGCAGACTCTGAAAATAAAGTAACAAATCATTTAAGTTGAATTCCTGCGTGCACATGAATAGATATGAAGATTCAACACGTGTATGGAAGTTCATCCATATAACATGAAAAAGATAGGAGCTCCATCAGTGTGCTTACCGTTTAGATGAGCCGCTACCTTTATTTCGACGGGGATCGCCGACAGCAGAAAGGGATAAGCGGGCTTCTAACCAGCTAGGTACGGGCTGTTTTGAGTCCCGAAGTAAATCGACCAGGTCACGGACGACATTTTGGTTCCGATCGGAGAAGAATGACGTCGCTGAACCCGGCTGTCCCATTCTACCGGTACGGCCAATTCGATGCACGTACTCCTCAATATCCGATGGTAAGTCGAAATTTATGACCTGCTAGAAGGTGACAAAGGTAACAGTTCAGTTGAACAACCATGATCCGAGCAAAGTAGTGAGGTGGATCCAGTTGCCACGACACACATCGTAAGGAGAACAACAACCAAATAGTGGGCTTGAATGCAAATAGACCGTGAAGAATATGGAAGTAAAAAAAGAAGTTCGCTAAGCTAATCAGAATGGGACGAGAATTAACAACCAGATGCAGGAAACCGAATACGCGTAGGCCTCTGACTGCATGACGGTGCCTCGTCTGATACGGTCTCCAAACATCAATGTGAAACATTCTAAGTCCCCTATTCACGAAGACGGCATGCATCAGCCTGACCAAGTTTCTCGGTCAGTTCCATCATGCCTTTATGCCACGTCAACTACTGACGAGCTCGCAGTTTCGCCCAGCTTGATGAAGTCACAGTATATAATGCACACGAAGGAAGCCGATCAGCGGACATACGGGGAACATCGACTAGCCAACGTTAACGATTAAGATGCAGCAAACATTCAAGTGAGGCACCAAAAAGTTTCTTGAAAAAAAGCAACTGGCGGACCTCAGCATTTCTCATCCGGTGTTCCCACCAGACGTGAGCAAAACTCTGTAAGCACTAATTGTTAAACACGGCCAAGCATCTAATGTCTTCGCCGCGAACAGGCCAGGTCTCTAATCCATGCAGTAAGACTGCAGCGTTATACATCCTACCTTTCAATGACAGGTTGATATCCCGCGGTCCACATAGATGGTTGAGCCTCTGGAAAGCCCCACGGGCCTTGCTGATACGCGAAGTAACCTCCGCAGTGATGTGACCACCAGAGGTGACATAGTTAGCAAGGGAAGTGAACCGATTCACCACAGACAGTGGCTGCTCGCTGATGGTTAGATCTGGAGGTGTGTCGATCTACTCCTGCACATTGGTTTGCAATTTGAAGGTGAAAAGCACATGCAGAGGCGTACAGAGAGACGAGTCAGTCAGTGCAGTACTGTTTTCATAGCCACTGCGTCAGACTCAAGGAGAGCTACGTCGTCCGCATACTCCACGTTTGTCAACCAGTCAACTGGCAGAAATTCCCACTGCGGAAGAGTAGCCAATCATGAGCATTTCGATCACAAAGTAGAAGAGGAAAGGAGCTAGAGGACAAACCTGGCGAACCCCACTCGTCGTGGGGAACTCAGGAAAGTTTCCCGTAAACCCTTACATGGCCTCGAGATTCATGGTAAACAGACCACATAACAGGAATTTAGCTGGTAGGCGGTCGACGGAGTCGCAGCCGGCGTTCAAGTTAAGAGAAACCACCATAGTCTGTAGTCTGTATGTGTCTGCTCTAAAACTTGGCGGAGTAAATATGTGGTCGACACAAGCACGACCAAGGCGGACAGCAGCCTGGTTCTTAATGACTCGATTCTCATGAAGACCAGTAATTCGTCGGAGTATGATACCCGAGATGCCTGGATGTAACGGAAACATGGCTCACGCCTCGATGATCCTCGCACAAAGTACCATGACCCTTCTTGAAGATTGGCACGACAGCTGACACTCGCCAGTCTGAACGCACCTATTCAGTGTCCCACATCACGTTAAATAGAGAAGCAAGTCCATTGAACAAAGTCACTACCATCTTTCAGCAAAGATAGAGGAAGGTCGTCAAGTTCAAGAGCTTCGTTTCGTTTCAAACGGAAAACTCATGTCGAATCTCATCCAAAGTGAGAGGTGTGACATATATTTCCCACGTCCGCTAAGATGATTCCGCAAGCAGCAGTGCAGCAGCAGGCCTGTTGAACTGTTCCGCAAAATGTTCTGCCCAAAGGGCTAGTCGACGAGGCTAAGAATGGAATAACTGCCTATCCTTCCCAACTATTGTCTCGCAAGCTAGTGGCTTTCTCGGACCGGTGTTCCGATTGAGCTGGAGTAGCACTCGGTGTTTCCCATCTCACGGGCTCTTGCCACCCACCAATGTTCTCGGTCGATTAGAAGACTCCTTATTAGACGTCGTTTCAGAGAGTTACGGACACGCTGAAACTCAGTGTGAATCGGAACGTGTTTCCGTGTTTCGATCAAACTGAGCAATGCTTCAGAGCTCGCGCAAATGTAACAAGAAGAGTTGATTCTGTGGGCGCCACTGTCCGAAACAAGAGTAGGATGTTGGTGCATGGCTTAATCTTGTCCGTAGAAATTCCACGTAGCACAGGCTTACAGTGATGAGTGGATGGGACAAAAGGTGCCACAGTCGAATTTATCCACGACAAACGCGCATCGATTTAATACACCTTGTCATGTGAACTGTCTAACGTACTCGGAAGCTACAGCTTACAGCCTGCGGAGCAATATGTTGGGATTAGTGCAGTTGAATAGTATGATGAAGACAAGCTTCCCGTTGACCGGACAAAACCGTCTGCATTGTGCGATCGAAAATACCGAAAATACCGACGAACCTATTAGCAGAGCTCTATACTCCGACTGGGCGACGGTGACATGTCTCGCCTGTGTCCTAACATTATCATGCGTAGCCCATTCGTCATCAGGTCTATATAGACACGTCTGGAATATCGCAAATGCATCTAGTTGTTCTGTCCAAAGGAAGGTGAAAAAGACCCTATTCGAAATGGCTATCGGCAGCAAAGAGATCCGCGAGCTTCTGTCGTGAAGAGGTCGGTAAAAAGACTATCAAAAATACCGAAGGACAACATATAAAGCATTTTGTAATATCATATACCACTATGTTCCACTCACATTGCCTGGTATAATATAATATTGCCCAGATGCTTAAAGTGAATTTATAAGTCTAAATACAGGCGTTTCTGCTGTGCGTCGTGAATTAAAGAGCGAAGATGAGCTCCGCCATTAAGTGGGAGAGAATTGCGAGAAATGACTATGCTTCCGTAGGCAAATGTGTTGTGATATTATCACGTAGCTGATGCGCAAAGTCAGAAACGAGAAGACTATAACGCGCAAATAGGAGAAAATCCGCCTGATCAAAAGATATCAACTCTTGAAGCACAAGTATGATGCGCGGGTACATCACCATTAAACACCATAACTAGGAATAAACGGAAAATAAGAGCCATCAGACCATCGCAAGGAGACTTCACTTTAAAGTGGTACCATGCGTTGTGTGCCTCACCAACCCAATGAGCTATGTTGGGTGGTGCTTTTTTGCACATGCACGGCCGTTCATACCAGACTGGTCAATGATGAGAAAAAAAACTCCTGGCCATCCAGGTCAGTGGTTGGAGTGAGGCTGGCTATTTACACCAAAAACTGACTCTCTGAAACATAGTGCAAAGACGCCGCTGTATCAAGGTCAGATTTTTGAAATAAAGGCTAGGCCAGTGGAAACCTGACATCATCCTGCATACGCAAAATAATGATCAAATGTTCAAACAGTAGGATAGCTATAGTCATGGAATTGCTAAAACACAAGGTTGCGAAGAGCACACTTTTCCATAAATCTCATCAGGCGTCTACAAGCATAACATGGAATGTTGAAACAGGAAAAGCTGGTGAAGCGTGATAGAGATTAGCGAATCCGAACGAGGCAGAAATTGAGCTGTCTCAATCGATAAATTGGTCGACGTACTCAAGCAGCGGTTACCACAGTATACGTAGGCAGACATTATTTGGCGGCGCCCCTATCTGGATTTGCCTGTCCCTGTGCCCTCCATGGGGACAGTCACGGGAAGCCTGCGCCTACAGAAGGACCATGGGTGAGTTGCGCTGCACCACCCACAGTTCCATCCACACACCCATATCCGGTGTAAACCCAAAAGAATAAGACCGGGAGGCATGCGAATGGGAGCCACGTTTCATCAACGGAGCCGGCCCACACTCCTTCAATAAGCAGAACAGAAGCATTCCAGCCTAATTGGGAAATCATGCATACCAGACGTACATATGGCGGTGGCTAGACCGTAGCCGTTCCACACAGGATAGAACCACTCTTTGAGCCTAGCACCGTCACGAGGACGGTGTACCTCGTTCCCACCAGCAACGACCAACTGTCACCTGGAGCCAGTATGGACGAGGTAGTGGGTAATAGACAGGTAGGCACCTTGTCAACATTCACATCGGGAGCAGCCACACCGGGGAGCTCAAGCAACATTTACTCCTGAAATGCAAGATTACTAAGCACGCAGGCAAACGTACCACATACACCGCCTTAGTGGCCTAGATTAGTAAATCGAATGGGAGAGTACTCATGGTGCTTCTACTCCACTTGCAACAGTGCCTTCTCCTGCACCTGAGTAATCACCATTTATAGTAGTCCACAGAATTCGCATTGACTTGGATTCGCAACACCTGTAAACGTGTCATCCATGTATCGACAATAAAAATCAAATGAAGAGATGATGAGTTTTATAGGTCGATGTTCGAGCATAGCAAGGAAAATGTCAGCAAGAAGCGGTCCGAGGGGAGACCCTATCGCGACTCTGTCCATCTGTCTGTAGTAGATTCCATAAAATAAATTTATTACAGGCAGATGAACAGAGTCGCGATGGGTCTCCCCTCGGACCGCTTCTCGCTGACATTTTCCTTGCTATGCTCAAACATGGACCTATAAAACTCATCATCTCTTCATTTGATTCTTATTGTCGATAAATGGATGACACGTTTACAGTCTGTGATTCAAACACTGATGTTTCCAGCTTGTTGAACCGGTTAAACAGTGTATATCCATCTTTGAAGTTCATCAGTGAAATCGAGAATGATGGTAAACCGGCCTTCTTGGATGTTTTACTAAAGAGAAAAGAAGACGGGTTCACTAGAAAGAAGTGTGTTTCGTAAAACGACGTGGGTCGGTCAATACACGCATTTTCTCAGTTTTGTACCCTTGAAGTCCCAACGGAACCTTGTTCGTTGCCTTTCCTTTCGCGATGCCAAGATGCGTAGCCCAGAGACATTGGAGGCCGAAAAGAACCGTATTGTCCAAACGCTGCAAGCAAACGGTTATGCAGCCCACTTCATCGGAAAACACGCAGTGATTCATGATAGCCATGAATTGATTACAAGTGTTCCCGAGAAAGATATATTTCTATCAGTTCCCTTCAACGGAGATATTGCTTTCGATTTGCTGAACAAAAGAATTTCCGTTGCCGTAACTCGAACGTTTCCAGCTGCATATCCACATATCATGGACGAAACCGCGTCGTTTGTTGCCCAACGTCTCAAAGACAGACTCCCGATCCAGTCCGAATTTTATATTCTTTATCAATTTACTTGCACCTGTGGTGTGAGGTACGTCGGACATACGACTAGGTGACTGCTTCAACGGATATCGGATCACTGTCCTACGGCATTGTAGAAAGGTACTGTCGGTTGCATCAAGAGTTCTATCCTAGGACATCTGATCGAAAGTGGACATCAAATCAAGGCTACTGATGTTTTCAGTGTTTTAAGTTGTACCAAAACGCTACCTCAAGGGGCTTAGTAAACGAATGTTACGGACGGCCGAAAGCATTGCGATCAGGCTTACACAACCTGAACTATGCAAACAGACGGCGCTTATACAAGCACTCCTTCTGCCCTGGGGCTAACACACTTCCAAACAGCTTCCACCTCACACGCTGACAACCACCGGGTGATGAGTGCGTCACCCAACTAGTTGGAAAGCATGTGCTATGTCTCTTGAGCATGTGTGCCTACGTATAATGCGGTAACCGCTGCTTGAGTACGTCGACCAATTTATCGATTAAGACAGCTCAATTTCTGCCTCGTTCTGATTCACTAATCTCGATCACGCTTCACCAGCTTTTCCTGTTTCAATTTCCATATTATGATTGTGGACGCCTGATGAGATTTATGGAAAAGTGTGCTCTTCGCAGCCTTGTGTTTTAGCAATGCAGACAATTTCTTGGTGCTCTAGCTGTTGCAAAGGATTATCAATGCTGCCTTATCTGCTGCATCGAGCAGGATGGATAGGGGTGACGATGCTGCTGATGAGGCATTCCCGTTTTCTTATGCTTTTTATCTGTAGCGTCTCCTCCCAAATTCACTGTTATCCCCTTATTTTTAATCCCGCTAATTCATGACCCACGTTCATTTTTGCTCCAGTAGTTGCCTGTCGTCTAGTTTCAACTCACAGGCAATCACTCCAGTACGGTCGACGAGTCCATGTCCAAACAACAAGCGGACGACGTCAGTTAATCCGTTTCTCTTTGTGTTAGGTTAGAACAATCCTAACTAACCCTGCCACAATGCTCATCGATCAACCGCTATCGAGCACGGTATTCCGTCATAGCCAGAGCAATGCTCGCATTTGGCATTATGGGCTGACGCAGTACGTTTGTGCAACTTCAAGTCTGTAGCGCAACTTGGTCAAATGCATGGATTCTCGAATGTGCTCATTCTATTATTACCGGACTGCAACAATTTAGCGACGGAGGTAGGATAGATCAAGACGGTGTTTTAACACTCACTTGAAATGCAATTTTTCGAAGAACGTGAACAATTTGTAGCCGCTCGGTTACACAAGATATGGACTTTACCCGACGATTATCTGTTCAACCTAGTGGGGATTCAGTACCTTATCAGAATCGAGACCGTCAGGCGACAACTACATTTTTAGTCGGCGGTCCTCAGGCAATTACGAATGATCGGGAGTCATTCGACATTTTCCTCTTCAGCCGGCAGGTGTCGGAATACTCAAGAATCTTCAATTGACGCAGCAATCCACTATGGCTTACAGCTAAAGTGCCGAGCTCCAAATAACGGACAGTAACAGTCCCACTTCCTTTGCAGCTGCAACAATCCAAGCGTCAGAAGACCCTCAAGAATGACATGCAAGTAAAAGGCTTCTTTGCGGGGAAGGTATTAGAACTGGACCGATCCTAACTAATCCTACCACAATGATCATCGATCAATCGCTATCGACCAGTGGATTGAACACACCGTCATAGCCCGAGTTCGCATTCGGCAACAAGGGCTGACGCAGTACGGTTGTCCAACTTCAGGTCTGTAGTCCAACTTGATCAAAGACATGGATTCTCGAATGTGTCTATTTTACTATTACCGGGTTGCAGAAATTTGGAACCCTCGACCCTTCCTAAAATTGGCATGCCTCAAGGTGCGCACTTTGTTACAGTTTGGCCAACAGGCAGCACCTGCCTAAACACTAGAGACCATATCGATAGATATATACCGTTTTTTATAGAAAACCCGCCTGCAAGATTCTAGTTGTGCGGTTCAACTTGTGTTCCACCACATCTGATGATAGCGTCATTTTCTCACTGCGCTTGTCTGGATATGACACAGTTACGAATGCCGGTCAAGTCGATGTGAAAATTGTCTTGAGCCCTCAGGATGAGGCTGCCCTGGTTGATTGGATCCCAATGAAGAGCCATATAGGGTATAAGCTTTGAATAAGGGTCTTGAGAGTCGAAAGCAATCGGTCGTCTGTTAATCGATGTCAACAGAAATTCTTATGAAACTGTGACAAAGTTGCCTAGGAAGGAATGAACTTTGGTAAGAGCCGCTGTAAAAAATAACGAAAGTAAACTGTAGAGTTTCTAATGAGCACAGGTTGTGTACAAGATGGAAAAGTGGATTGTCGGTTAATATGTGTATGCACTACTGGATAATCGAAGAATAATGATGTCACAGAGTTCAGTTCATTGGACCTCCAGAACATCCAGATAAGACATCTAATAGATTCGGTCTAAATACCGAACGTGGTCACCAAGAACGATAAGAGTCGGAAGGCAGAGCATATTTGGGTGTGATGGAGACAAGAAAGCCCATTAGTAATGTACATTTATTGTTGCGAAACTTTGAATTTCAAAGGCGAATGCTAGCCTAAAGCTAAAATGTGATACCGCAGAACGTCTGAGTAGTTCAGAATCAGGTTTGCCAAAAGCACTCAAGTAGTAATAAGACGGAGTCAGGTTAATCCACGACTGGAGGCAGAGGGTTGAGCAGTCGGTTACGTCTATGCGATAAGGTTGGTAGGATCGAGCGATTAAATCCTGCTACATGGATTGTTGTACTCATGTGAATGCGAAACGTTTTCGGCCCATTGAGCAGGACAAAACGTAGAGCAAAAATGAATGCACGTACAAACCAGATTGGAAAATTGGAAGTAGCGTAGTCAAACTTAATGCGATGGGGGTAAGAGTACTAGTGTCAAATATGAGGCAGGCAATAGATCGCTAAAATTTGTTATCAGGAAAGTAAGACCAGGTAAATATGTAAAACAAGATCAACCAGTCAAACAAGATATTACCTTTACATTCGGTATGTCTAGGCCTCGAGCAGCAACAGCGGTAGCGATTAAAATGGGGGTTTGGCCATCACGAAACGATGATAGGGCACTTTCTCTATCTGACTGCGGCCGATCTCCATGAATCGAGGCAACAGGGAAGCTGAGCTGACTGAGGAACTTTGCCAGCAAATCAGCACCACGTTTTGTTTCCACAAACACGAGAACCAAGCCATCTGGATCTTCCAGTGAAAGGTAGAGAGAAAAGGCGGAGCAAGGTTCAAGGAAAGGACAATTTGGGAGATCGGGCAAATGAGCAGCGTAAAAGCGAAGGAATACGGCTGGGAAAAGTGAATGGGAGGCATGAGTGATTCGGAGCCAGTCCATAATCTTTCAACATGCACATCATTTGTGTAAGAATGAGGAAACATGCAGACCGGAGGTAAACAGAACTGTGGCTACACCGTAGCCTCTTTCACACTGGATGGAACCACTATTTGAGCTTAGCACCGTCACCAAGACTGTGCATTTAATCCCGCCCAGCAACGATCACAGCCTCCTGAAGACAATAATCAAAGCGTAGGGTTTCGACAGGTACGCACCTTTCCCATGTTCGCAACAAGCGCAGCCGAACCGGGGATATCAAAAAGCAAACACCCAAAATGCAAACAAATAAACACGCTGGCTCATGTACAGACCAACTGCGGTGACAATGCAGCACAGTGTCACATCGACCGCATTAATGACCTGGGGTGGTAAATTTGATTGGAAATAGTGGAGTTACCATGCGCTGCCACGTACCTATTCAACTTACCCGTCGCCTATTCGATATTGTCTTATAGTGGTCACGAGAATAGCTTATCAGACCTGCTTGGCTGAAGCAGACACGACCGCATATCCCATAGCATGAGGTGCAAGACCCTGACGGAGTAATAATCACCATTAACAACAGCAATACATTAGTGATTTGAACTGATGCTTCGCTGCCATACAACCACAACGACCTAGGGAACGAAGAATAATAAGAGGGAATGAAGGGTACCCAGCGTAAAACCTTAATGCCCTAAGCAAAGATTCAAGTTACAGAGGCCTACAAGTTATCAACAGCATAGCGTCCCAAACACACGGTCGTCGTGCTAAGATAAGGCGGTATCGGCTAAACAGCGGCTTTAACTGCCCAGCGGTATAATGAGCCAGTGTCCCGCAAACAACTCAGCACCAAGCACACATTAAACAATCAACCTGATAAAGAGACGACAGCAGATGCGCCATTGGTGCCGACTGCGAGTCATATGCTGTAAGGTCTCGAACCAAGCACAAGACCGGTCCCGTGGACTACAGTTTAAAAGATGACACAGATCAGCAACACCCAGTTTTGTAGTCAGTGACTTCATTTCTCGCTATCAAGTTAACGCCTTCTTAACTCGAGCCTTGCGCAATCATCAATACATGATAGCTGATGATGAGAAATACACAGCCGATGTGTCTTACGTTAGCCTACATCGGGGGAAACAAAACAAGGCATACGCAGTACATGCCTTAGCGAACGCAAGTTGTTTAGTGCTGTTGTTCTAAGAAACCAGCCTGATTACCACTGAAGAGCATAAAAAACACATCGTCGTTTCGGACTCTCTGGCGTAATCCGACACCAGCAATGGTTCGCAGATAACGACGATCAAGGACTTGGAGGCGTTTCAGATCCTCACATCGAAATAACCAAGCCTCACTACCATACAGCAGGACTGCCCTCAATGTGGCCATGGAAACACGGTCTTTCAGATCAATGGAAACCAATTTCTGATGCCATAGATGTCTCAGATTCAAGAAGACAGCTCCAGTTTTGCAATGCATGAACAGACGTGAGTGGTTATGCGCCTGTGGTTGCTGATACAGCTGCCGAGGCAGGTGAATTGATCAAATACCTGGAGTTTCTCACTATCAAGGGGTTAATGATCATGCAACCGCATTTCACCCTATGAAAGTGCGAAGCGCCTGCCAAATGCTCGGACTCCTGTATAGAGGTTATTCAGGATTGACCAAGCCGCTCCAACATCGTTAAAAAGCAAGACAATACAGCACCGTTAGCACGAAAACAACTGAGAGCCGTGGTCGTGTAACAGACTTCGGCCTCTGACGAAGCTTTATAGTAATCCGTCAGCCTACATAACCTGAGCAGAAGACACTCAGCAGCAGAGAGCCAACTGAACCCACGAAAATGCTGAACCAACAAGCCAGAAGGTGCCGCTTATTGGGAATTAGGAAACAAATCTCGGCTGTCTCTGACTGCCTCAGAGACTGGTTTTCTGGGACCCATCATCATCATTATACACGTCAGCTAGATGTGTAAAACACCTCAGCTACTGTGCCGCAATACATAAAGGAAAAGCAAACTAAATACAACAGCTGCATGCCAGCTGAGCTACCAGCAACGGATAGGCATCGTTCCGGTAAGCTACCAGCCGGTTACTAGACAACATGAAAAATTATTATGTAAAATTATATTACGCTACGAAATGAGATCGTGGTTGGAGAGGGCGACTAAAAGGGATGGGGAGGAACAAAGAAATCACAGCAGGAACGTCACTGAGGTCGACTTCTTGCCATGTCAGCAAGTGTATCTAGCCAAACGTGTTCATCGCCTTTTGGACCCCAACCAGGGAGCGGTGACGCTCCAACCGAGGCCAGCTCCGAAGTGAGGGCCTTCATTCCTCTCGACCAAGTCATCGCTTGGCCACACCTCCTCTTCTTCCATTCACACCCCCGGTGAGCAAACAACGCACGTCGCGAAAGTCGGTGAACCGGCATGCGCAACACGTGGCCCAGCCATCGGAGCCTCGTGTGTGAAATGACGGTGCTGAGCGGTTCAATTTCTGTACCTGTGCCGTAAACAAGGCATTGAACACGCTCGTTACTCACGCGGTGTTCCCACCAGATGTGAGTCAAACTGTGAAGGCACCGATGGTCGAACGTAACTAGACTCTTTATGTCCGCCGATCTAAGGGGCCAGGTTTTGCAACTGTACAGCAAGGCCGAACGTACCGCTGCATTGTACACTCTACCCTTCAGGGCGAGAATGATCTCACGCCTGCGCCATAGGTGGCGAAGTCTAGCAAAAGCGCATCGAGCTTTTAATATACGGTTTGTGAATATGTATTCACTTCCAACGGCGTTGATACAACTTCCCAGGTATTTGAACTTCTGAACGACTTCTAGATGATCCCCACCAATGGTCAGTGCAGGAGGTGGTCCAGGCCAATCTTGGAGGAACGCTTTGCACTTCGATGGTGCAAAGCAAAGCCCGAAGCGGCTGACAACCATTGCTAATCTGTCCAGTTCAGCTTGGCACGTCTGGGAGCTGTCACAGATGAGGGCAATATCGTCCGTATACTCCAAGTCAAGAAGTCGTTCTCCTGGGAGTAGCTCCACACCTTCCAAGTCATGTCCTGTAAATGCAATCTCCATGACTTCGTTAATAGCGAAGTTGAAGAGGAAAGGTGACAACAGGCATCCTTGTCTCACACCGCTGGAGATATTGAAGAGTGGCGACAGCTTCCCGTAAGCGCTCACTCTTCCTGTGCTACGCGCGTATAGGGCAAGGATTATATTTACATATTTCTCGCGTACACGTTCCCTGACTAGACAGTCTCGAATGGCACAACGATGTCAACCGAATCGAAGGCACCTTTGATGTCGAGGAACACGACAACGGTGGGCCGCCAATGTGTGTGACAATGCTCCAACTGACGCAAAGCGAAGATGTGGTCGATGAAGCCATGACCCCGACGAAACCGGGCTTGCTTCTCACGAATCTGGCTTTCACGAACGCCAGTCAATCTGGGAAAGATTACAGAGGCAAGTAATTTGGAGGCGATGGGGATCACACTGATTTTTCTATGGTTTCCGCATTCCGAACGCGAGCCTCCTTTGAAGATCAGGACAATAACGGAGCGGATCAAGTCGGTTGGGACAAATTCCTGCTCCCGCAGTTTCACGAGTAATCCGTATAAATCATCAACAAGAGCAGGCCCCCCAATTTGAAGAGGGCTGAACGAAGATCATTTGGTCCCGCGACTTTATTCAGCTTAAGCAATCCTATTTCACGCTCGATTTCTGAGCGAGTGGGCAGTTCCACAGGGACAGCCCACGGAATCTAACAATTCCGATCAATTTAAATGGCTATTCAAAAGGCTCAGCCCAACACTCTAAACGTTTTGACAAGCTGTGAATAAGCTGTCCACTCTCGTCATAAATTGTTCCACCAACACCAGGTCTCCTGCTGCCGGTTGCCCGTATCAGACGGAATAAGTTTCGATGGTTGCCAAGGGCGGCAGCCACTCCCATCCCTGACGCACGACGAGATCACCACGCTTCACGGTTTCTCTTCAGGCTAGCACGCAGTTTTACCCTGATGTCTTTGCGAGTCTCGTGTTCGCTTCCAGCCAGAATTTGACGGCGAGCATCGAGAAGTTCCAGAGAGCGCGAAGAGACCCAATTTCTATTTTGTCTAGGTTTGGTGAACATGCGACCAGGGACCATCAATTGTCTCCAGTGAACACTTACTCAGTCCGCATGTCAGCGTATTTTGATACGCATTCAGAACAGCTGGCTTCGCCACTTGACTGGTGTTAATGAGCTCACAACGTCGTCTTGCGCGTCCGCCAAAATGCATCCGCATGTCAGCACATACAAGTGCATGATCGGTGTCCACACATGTGCACCAAATCGAGCGACAGTCCTGGAAGCAGCCTCTCCAGCGGTAACTTATCGCAATGTGATCGATCTGCGTCCAAGGCTGATTCGAGGCTGGTGGGCACCAAGTCACCCTCCGGCGGGTGCTGTGTCGGAAATTAGTGCTCGCAAGAAATAAGCGAGCATCTTCACACAAATGAAGTAACCGTTCACGGTTATCATTAAGGAAGCCTACATCGTGTTGGCCGCCCAGATGCATTTCATTAGTGGATAATATTCCAACTTGAGCGTTCAGATCCCCAGCCAGCACAAAAGTGTCCGTGCTTCTTCTGAGGCGAAGTAGCTCGGTCAGCTGGACGTAGAAGTCGTTTCTAACCGAATCATCGCTAAAGTTTGTGGGCGCGTGGGCAGCGATGAAGAATAGACACCTATAAGTCCCGCGCGACTTCGAAGCTTTGAACGAGCCAGCCAATCGGACCGCACACATCCGGCTACTGATTGGAATCCAATCAACCAGAGCAACTTGAATCCGGGGACTCAGGGCAATGCCAAC